AGAAAAACGAATCATGCATTTGTTACTTTTCTACGGCTGGACATTAACTGCAACTCTTTATTATCAGCCGTTGCCTACTCTAATCCATTACATGACGCTCCAATTTAATTCAAAACGCTTTCAGCACGAAGTACTGCGACAGGACTAGCGAAAAGAGATCGGGTACATCTCGTCCTGTAAGCTAGCCCTTCTCTGGCCTGGCTGGGAGGCCCAGACGCTTCAGTTTTTACCAGTGCTGCCTCTCCTGGTGCTGCCAGGCTCCGAGTTGCGTTGCAGGAGGTCAGCACCCTGCGGGTCCGCACATTTGAAGAGCTAGGCTTAAGACATTTCTCTTTGAGTAAAGCTTATAGCTTACGGCTGGATCAGGTGACGTCGTGAACCAGTCCTTAGTTAGGTTGCTCATAGGCCTAGACTATCGGGATTTCCCATGGTGGCACTGAGGCTTCCTCTCTCCCTCTCCTGCTCTTCTGCACTCCTTCGATGTCCAGTTAATGCATGTTAGCCAACCTTCACTTCTTCGCGGGAGTTTGTGCTTTATCCCGCTCGAGAACCCGGCAGGTTTCTTCGACATGGATCCTGCGTGGAGGCCTCCTGCCAATGCGGTCCCTGCTTTGACTACCAATCTGCGTCTGTGATAGGATGTGTCTGATTCTGTAAACACAGTTTCAGTTTCACTATAATTGAAGGTGTGAGGTTTGGGTTCACAATGGGTGTGAACAAAGCTGCTATAACAAGGAGGTGACCCAGCAGCGGTGAAGAAGAGGTGTATTTGGTGTTACATACTGGTATTTGTGGAATAAATGCTCACCTGGGCAGGCAGAATTGGCAGCAGCAAGCTTTTGCACTCCACACAGTGCTCTTCACTCAGTGTCAGTACTTTCACTTTTTGAGCTTTTTTTTTTTTAAAAGGAGTTCGGTCACCTGCTCTATTTGAAAAGTGTCCTTGAGATAACTTTGTTATGAATTGGCGCATATACAAATAAAATTGAATTGAATTGAATTGAGCTTCTGTAAGTTAGGTGCAGAGAAAAACCATCAGGTTAACCAGCAGGGAATCCGCCTGTACCCCTCTCCAATAATAGAGAAAAGCTTGTTCAGATAAATTGGTACACATTTAAAACAAATACAGAATCTTAGTTTACACACACTACATTGTGTCTCCATAGCAACATGCAAGGCTTGCAACAGGTGTTTCAATTTAAGACTCAAGTTCAAAACCATTTTTAAAAAATGGTATCAAATGAATGTATAATGAGGAACGTGTCCTTGATAGTGATGAACCCACAGTTCCTCTCAGCTCTGGAGCTTTTCAAGCTTCATTTATACCTCTGCAAGACACCCTGGCATAAGCTTTTTGTTGGGTGCTTCTTTGTCTCTGGATTCTTCTCACATAATGATGATATCAAAATTTCAAAGTATTTGTGCGATGAGTCCACAATGAGAAGACCTGATGAAAGATATATTTGTTACACGGCCCGGATAATGTTCAAGAAATACACTTCTAACAAACCCACGCACATTTGATGTTGTAGTTGTTAGTCTCTGTCAACTCGGTGAAAGATGCACATCTGGGTGTTAGTGTTGAGAAATTCCTTCCTTTCTTTGCTTTTTAACGTCAAATGCGCTACCCTTGTTTGCCTTTTTTTTCTACCAGGTTTCCACTAGTGAAAGAAAAAAAACCTAGCTAGCTCTGCAGCCACAGTTACGCCATTAGGGATGTAATGATACATTCAGCTCACAATTGGTTTGATATGCCATACTGGGTTCTCCCTTTGACATTAATGCAGTATTTCAAACAAAAAAAGAATAAAGAAATTCATGACTGAATAAAAGTTTTCTATATTTCTGAGAGGCAAAAATGATTTACTTTTTTTTAACCACTATAATTTGTGTACAATAAGACAGTATTTTAGAACAATCAAAACAGAAATAGCAGCAAAACAGTTTTAAAAAATGGGAAAAACTTCACATTGCATCTGTGAAATGGGTTAATTATCTGTGTGGTAATGTCCCATTAGGGCAAATTACCATAGTCAATTAACTGAAAATGTGCAAGATTTAGTGTCACAAAGTATTTTTACATTCTCATGAAAGTAAATTGTAATGAATTTAATGATTATTGGACCATTTCAGAAACCCCTTAATATTTTTGTCTATCTTTATATTCCTCTCTACAAGTCTTGGTGTGCCAACAATAATGTCTTCCTCTGTCTGTGATGTCTGGTTTCTCCAACGTCTTTATACAAGTTGCACAGTTCCTCTGCACCTTAAAGGGAATCTTCTGTATTTTTAACCTGGACCCAGTTAAACCATGTTTTTGTTCTTTGTTCTCCTTTTCAAGTGAGTAATGGGGACAACGATTTTTGAAATTGGTCCAGTATTGATTAAGAGTACTGCAGCCAGCAGCCGCAAAACGGACTGCAATGTAATCCTTCCGGGCAATTGCGCACCTTCAGTGTAATTCCACTAAAAGTGCCTCTTTTGCCACTGACAGACTGAGAGTGTTATCATAAGTGTCTGACAACATTATGGAAATGATCACTACAGTGACAGACTTTTTTGTTAAAGAGTAAGATTATTTTTGTTTAACAAGAAACGGAAGTTAAATCGTTCTGTTCGAAGCTGATAAAAACAGTAATTCTATCTTGAAGAACACAGGAGTTGTTGATCTATAACTGCCTCAATCATTTAGTTTGTTTGTGTTGTGTTATTTTGTGACTTTGGTATTGTTGAAGGGTCAGATACAAGCTATGGTACATTATATGGTATGTGTAGATTTGGTTTTAGGTTAACCACCGTGGTCTTCAAAACTGAAGAAAATAAAAAAAGTATCCCTTTTGATAAAAAGAAAAAAAAGTTTTTCAATTGATCGAAAACAAATTGATCTAATGCATGAGTCAGCATTATGAGTTGAGTGTAACTGGAAGATAACGCAAAAACTGAACAGCAGATATTTTAACTTGTCATAGCTGAATAAACACAGGTGTCTGGGTGTTTATTAAAACTAATGAGTTATTATGTTATTGATTATTTAATTCTATTTAGTTGCAGCACACTTTAATTACATGACTGTGCAATTGGCTTTCTTGGTTTGGTAGATTATACGGCAGGAAGCATGAACTGAGTGAAGACAAAAATAGGCCAGTAAGTTTTATGTTTTTTTTGCTGGATTTTTTAATCATAATGGCTTGGTTCAAACATACAAACACTATCATAGATGTGTATCACAGCAATGTGTGCCAGATTTTGTAGCATTCAGCAGGCAAGGTGGTAAAGCAAATGTTTATTTTTGACTATGTACTATATACTGTTGGACGGTGGGTTGGCTGCTTGCGTTTTGTACCACTATGCCTTATTATGTGTTGGTTTCATATATACACAGTGGTAAATTTATTTGGTACAGCCTTTTAATACTGGGTTGGACCCCCTTTCCCCCCAGGTCAATCCACGCTCATAGTCAATTCTTTGTTTTTTTAATTTTTGGTCTAACAACAGAACCTCTTGACCATGTCTGCATGCTAGATGATAACGATAACAAGCAGATGTACAGGTGTATCTCACAAGGTGGCCACTAAGTGTATTATGGTTGTTTCTCGATAAGTTGTCTCCTGAACGAGGAATGTGGCAGTGAAATTCAGGCTTGGCCTGTTTCATGTATGGGCAGGGTTCCTTTCTCAGTTTAATGCCTGTGCAGGTCTGGTAGGAAAATGTAGCTGTTTGAAATTCAAGGACTTTAGTAACAAAGTCAACTCCACACAGAACACTTACCAGCACTTTTTGTTCTGTGATGTACTAAAAGGAGAACAATCTGCTCATTCAGTGTTGTGTAGGAGACAGTTTATGTTTAACAATTTCCCATTTGGAGTGCAACTGCATTTGGAGGTTTTGCCAGATAGTCCTGTACGATACGATACGATACGATATGATATACTTTATTACTGTATCACTTAATTAGTCTTGGACCCAAATGCTGCGCACATATACCTACCTCCATTTAGTACAGCACATGAGTTTGGGTCACGTGCAGAGCATCACCACCAGTACAGTTTTAAAGAGTAGAAGAAGCAACCTTCACCTATTGCATGACCACTAGAGATTACAAAAAGGCGACTGCAGCAACATTACATTAACAACCTTAATAGGAGTGTAACCAAGTAAAAAATGTATCTTTTCTGTCAAATTAATTCTCGTCCATCCTTTTAAGAGCTGTGTGCTTGATTTTTCTCACTGGCACTTGTCCTCCTTCATATCAGAACGAGGTAGATTTGGAGTTGGAGATGGAAAGAATGTGAAAGAGCATGAGAGAAACAGTCAGTGGCTGCAGCCTTACTCATGTGAATACCGATTTGGCTACAGCTTACCTCTGGGACGCCTGCAGCAAGCCAATTACCAAGTCTCAGTCGCAGAGAGAGAAAGACAGAAACACAGATTGACTGAAGCAAATAATACGTTTCAGCCCCAGTGCTAGCTTCAGCTCCAATTCCACCCTGTTATTCATTTAACACAAAATCTAACAGCACCTGGCCCTCTCCTCTTAAGTATTTCCCACTTCTCTGCTTCCCTCCAAGCACCTTGATTCCACAAAAGACTACAGGCTATGAGTGCAGACCCAGAAAGGGAGGAAGAAAAGGGATAAAAGCGGTTTCTAAATAATCCCATTTAACTCTGAAATGTGCACTGCTGCTTTTATTCTTGACACACAGTGAGCAGGCCTGGTTCAAGCCGAGTGTGGGTTGAATTGGCAAATAGAGTAAGCAGAGAGGAAGAGAGACATGTTTTGAAATGAGGCTTGAAAGGCAGCCCAGTTTGCAGCTTAGGGAATCGCTAAATGTCTGCCGGGAAAGATGGAGAGAGAGAGAGAGAGAGAGAGAGAGAGCGAAAGTGTGAGAGATAGGAAGAGGAGATGAAAGAGTGGAAAGAAGTCAAGCGGGTGGAGGGAGCAGGGTGCTGGCAAGGTTATGAAAGGTATAGCTTGAAGGCAGGTGGGTCAATGTAGGTAAAAAAAAACAAACTGCAGGAAGTAATGAAAAAAGATGAAGGGAAGGATGGAGTAAAAAAGAGGTAGCCCTCTTCATACACCTCCACTCCTCAAAAAGGGAAAGAGTTGAAGTGTGTGAATTCCAGAGCTGTGGAAACAGCCTGCTGTGAAATTTGTCCTCAGCCATCTCAGCAGTTTCTCTCAGCTCATTAGGAGTTAGAAAAGGTAAAGTCCAGACATGATCTATTTCTTTTTTTCACTCCACTTTCATCTTCTCTTCCACTCTTTTATCCCTCTTCTTCCTCCCTTTTCCAATCCACTATCTTACCAAGCTACGTTGTATGCCAGAGACTGTCTTTACATCTAGAGTTTTGCATCAAATGAATTTTATGAAACGGTACATAAAGTTGAAATTGATATTCATACAGGAGAGGCAGACCTGGATGGTGTTTGTGAGGCCTGCCTGCCCTACCTCAGCTGTAGACAACCCATCAGACTGCAAGAAGCCAGCCTAAGGTGAGCCCTTATCCAAGCCCATTGCAGTGGTGTAAAGTAACTGAGTACTTGAGAACAACTTTGAGGTAATTACTTGAGTCCTTCCATTTTATGCTAATATTGTACTTTTTTCTCCACTACGGTTATTTGAATGCTGTAGTCTATAGATACTTTGCTGAATAAGATTTTACATATGAAAACAATGACATATTTTGTTGTGTTGCCATAGATTAAATTACCCAAATTATATAAAGTAGTTCAAATTAGTTTTTTATTAGATTTTTTAAAATACAGTAGTCATATAAGTTATTAGTTGTTCTAATCGTTCCATACTTGCCTTGGCAAGATCTCTTCTTAACTACAATTGTAAAAGCTGAGGGTCACAATCCACAGTTTGTGGTAATACAACCTGAAGGAAACTGACGGTGACGGTGAAGCTTATAGTCAAATTGCAGGACCGTGAACAGGCTGTGTTGTGCTCAGTCTGTTACTTTGGATTACAGGAAGGTGTTTTTCCATGTCATAGATATTCTGCACTTTAGCAGAATACAGCCCAGAGCTAATCTTCTTCCCATGTGTCTTTCACTCCTCTCCACAGCGTTTTCCAACACTTAATCCAGGTGGATCCGGACACCTTCTGGTTTACTCTGAATGAGCTGCACTGCCCGTCCTCCTACATCCCACCCCACCCCGACCTCCAGCCCATACAGCTGAACGGAATGGGTCGGCCGAGAGACGAGTACTCGGACAACGTGCTCAAACTGCTGAGGGAGGAGTTTGGCTCGGTTGCTGAGTCAATCCACCAGCCAGTCGGTTAATGAGCTAGTGATTGATGTGATTGACTCGTCTCTCAGATGGACGGCTTATTGAACCACTGACTCCAGCAAGTCAATTAACTGAAGGAACATCTGACAATTGTGCCAAAAAGCAGCCATCAGATACGGTTGTGATAACCTTCATGGTGTACAGCGCTCTGATAAGCAGCAAGGTACAAAGGGAAAATGTCAACGAAGCATCTCTACTGCTGTTCACGCCTCTGCTGTGTAGTGTAGAAACCAGGAATCTTTCTGACAGGTCTTCTACATTAGGAGACATGCAGTGACAGTGTTTTTCATTTCATGCTTAGACATAGACATGTACTGTATGCAAATGTTATGTTTTCTATTCCTTTCTGTTATTCTGATTTTCTTAAGAAATACCTTATTCCTAGCTACCTTGTTTTTTTTATTATTCAACGCGTGTTCTTAACACGTGGGACTTTAATACAGATTCATTTGGCTGTTGTTGACCCCGACAGAGATTTTATTGTGACCCTGAAACATTCGTAATTGAAATAATCACCACAATACACCAACTACTAAAAATTATTTCATTATGTGTCATGTTGCAGTTGGGGTATTCAGCACTTGAGAACAGGGCTGTGTGTCGAGCCTCAAACATTATTTGACTAAAATGTGTCTAAAGCACTGAGTATTGAAACTTTAAATGTCTAACTGGATTGGATTGGTAATCTTTTTTACTTAATCTTTAAAGGGGAACTCCACCGATTTTACACATCAACTTTACAGGTTTTGGAGGGTACCGCTTCCTTTTATGGCTCCAGAGGGAGCTGTGTGAAGTCTGATAAATTGCCTTGAGTGATGTCACTTGAGTCAGCATCAGCATTATCTGTGTATGCAAAGCCTGATATAACTTATTCCTTCCCCCATTAAAATAACGCCACACTGTTGAACTGGCAGACATATTCATTGTGATGAACAGAACATGGGCACTCTAGGTTATTTTGATTCAATCCCAAATACAGTGTATGCTGCCAAAAATGTATCGTAGCAAAGCAAATGTTAGGACTGCTTAAACTGTATATCTGGACCTGTACGTCTTCAGTAGGAACTAGTGGGCACAGTGCCACAAACAGAGAATCAGAGTCAGTTTCAGTCTCAAAGTTTTACTAATGCATTGTTGGTTTTGGTCTTCTAATGGAGTTTGCCTACAATAAGAAAATTGTAGAATAAAGCCAGACTCATTGCTTAAGAATAATGTGACAGGTGTAGCTATACAAAGGAAGGAGGAACTCTTTTAGCGAGGGGGTGCCCTCACTAACCTTGCACTGAGCTGTCTTGCCACCCACATCACACATTGTGTTGCTGGAAGCTGCGTCAGCATGAAAAGGTCAGGGGGCACCAGATTGTGTACCTATGGGGGAAGTGAACGCCCCATGACGGAGACACTAGCCAATCTATCATTATACATGTTATCACTCGCAGCCCTATAGAGTTTCAGGGATGTTTAAATGAAGGAAACAGGAAGCCCCCTCCATTATCACATCACCTCACTGATGGGAGAACCCGGAGCTTGCCCACCTCATCGCTCCATAATGAACGTATGAGCCTTCTAGTGTGGGGAAACAAGATCGCCACGTGTTTTGTATTAAGCTGGCCTGGCTAGCGAGCGCAGCACAGCGCCTCTTTATCTCATCCTGTGCTGTTGCTATTTATCCTGCTGCCAGTGCTGACAATAGCACCATTAGTCATCAGCAGCAATGGGAGGGGGGGCTTTGGCAGCACCTATTACACACAGGCAACTGCCTAATATCGTTTCTCCTTAATGCACATGGACAGACACACACACACAGAGCAGGGGCCAAAAGTTAAACCACAGCTGACGTAGAGCTGAACCCCCACAATAACCCTTTATATATAAATGTATAATGACTGTTCAGGAGGATCTAAATGAAATCTAAGCTTGTTGTGGTTTTTCCCTTTTCATAGATCTTAATCAACAAAGAAACAACCACAGATTCACTGTTGTTTCATATACAATTTATTTCATTTGATAAAGCCATACACTTAGTGTGAGACCAAACATTCTAGAAGAAATGTACATTTTCCCTCTCTTTTTTTTAAACCGCAAACTCTTCTTTACAAAACATCAAATCAAAGTTACTCTTTTGGAAAAAAAACAATCCCACTGATCACTCCTTCCACTAAAGCACCTTCCCAGTCTACAGGGACAGGAGCACTGTAGTTCCTCTGATGGATAATACAGCAGAGAAGTAAAGCCCCTCATGGCCTTGAGACACAGACTATATTTTGAGGCAGTACGGACAGCCAATTTCAGTGTTTCACTAACAACATTTTCCTCCTGCTCCTCGCCGCTCCAGGCTTTATCCAGTGTGTTACCCACATTCACTTTGTCCCATTTGATCCCGTCAGAGTGAAGTATTGTCTTGCGCTTCACACAAGCATCTAAGCAAAGAGATTATCGTCAGGTTACAAAATCTGCAGAAATAAAATGGCCTCTCAAACCTTTCAGACCAAGTCCCAAACTGCGTAAAATGAATCCCACATTCAAGCTCATTAAAACACAGCAACACTCATGTTAGCGGCCCTGCACATACATTACAGTAGTTTAAGAAACACTGTTTAAGTACTAAGATACATTAGGGAAACCCCTTTCTGAGCAGCTATGAAGAGGATGTGTCATTCATCTGTCTGTACAGCACTTCTGGAGAGCAGTAAAGCAACAGAAAACTGCTTTGAAGAAAAAAAGATCTCTTTTTGATAGGACTTTTAAAGTAGAAAAAGGAGATTGAGAACAGAATGGACTTTTTTTTCTTTCTTTTCAATGAACCAAACTAGTAAATGACAAACATGTCCTTAACTAACACAACTAACACACTGTCTTTGTGTATGGTTGGTTGAAAAAGTTTTTAAGAAAATTACTGAACATGCACTCACTTTATTTCATATTATACAGTCATATATACAGAGTGGATTAGAGGCTTGTAGCGGAGTGGATTGAGGCTTTTTAAATGATTGATGAGCACTGGGCCAGAGCACTGGAATAAGGGAGCTAAGCTGGGACAGGTATAGCACTGCTCTTCCCAGAAAGTATCTTGGACCAAGATCACATTTCTCCTATTGATTTATAGTCACAGAGCGGATTCAGAAGCACACCAAATCAGATTTTTAATTTAGTGGCACAGATTCTGATCTTTTCACGGCTTTCCAAACAGGTGGGGTCCACACGGAACAACTCGATTGATTTCTCTCAGCCTGAACAGCTGTGAATGGATCGAACCTGCGGCACAAAGGGGGGAACAAAAATCATATTTTCAGTTGCTGCTGCAAATTCATAAGCTCAAAAGCGCTGTGGGGGAAAATACAACCTGTGATGTGCTTTGTTTGAATTGGGCACAAATGTGGGAGAAATCCCACACTGCCACTGCATTTACTCCAACTTAAATGAATAGAGGCCATATCTGTCCTTGATGAGCACTGGTGTTCCGGGACCTTGATATATTCCTGCTGAAGGAAGCAGCTTCCTTTCTCCCCGCGAGTACACAGAATAACTTGCTGAATTTCGGGCGTATACAAATTTTGTAAAAATTTTCACCATATTCATGTCCAATATTTGAATACACAAATGATGCACTGAAGCTAAGGAATCAGACTGGACAAGGTTCCATTCAGTGCACTCTCAGAATAAATAAATAAAACATTTTCCTTCACAGGGGCATAGACCCAGTTACAAAAGGTATGACATTATAATTTTTTTCTGAGGGTGCATCAAATGACAGAGTAAGGCAGTGGAAGAAGTATGAGTGTGAAAGCAGGGTTGTGTCATTTACAGTATATAAAGTACAAGAGGAGCATGGGTTAATAGTAAGACAAGAGTCTGTTTTTGTCGGTGCAGAGAACAGAAACAGTGGAGCTGCTTAGATCTACACATCAGCCCCCCTTGCTGAATGTTGTGAGGCCAGGCCTTACAGACAGTGAGCAGCCCGAACCCATGCACAGCAAGAAAAAGCTACATTCCCAGCACAGTTTACAGCACTGTGCTCTGAATAAGCCGTACTGTACATTTTTAGAGATTGTGGGTTTGTGCGCAGGCTTGCACTGTGTGGGAAGAATAGCTTTTTATGCTGTGACACGCATCATGTTATGCAATCCTTGTGTAATCTATCACTCAGGTGTAATAAACCAGCATCTACAGCGTACAGCTTGGCTCGTTGGTGCAGTCATTGTGGCCTTGGTTACTGTCCACGTCCCTCTTCCTCAGCTCCCTGCCCGCCTTGTGCTGCTGACTGCTGCCGCTGTGGCTGTGGCCGTGGTGGGATGGCGACGAAGGCCGCTTCCCGTGCTCCTGGTGGTGCCCGTGATTCTGGTGATGGCCATGAGCGTGCTCTTTGGTGCCACCATGAGACTCCGTGTCCTCCCCATCAGCGAATGCCACTCCTCCCTTGGTGTCGTCCAGGGACTCGAAGTTGTCGTTGTGGTTGCTGTTGATGACGTCGCTCTCCGGCACCACCTGTAGGTAGGCTCTGACGCGGTGGTGGCGGGCGCCTGCGTCATCGCTGAAGTCGATAACGCGGCACTCGTAGGTGCCTTCGTCAGATGGCTTGACCCGGGATAGGCGGAGTTTGTGGGAGATGTTGCTTCCTACGACCTTCACAACCTAGCAAAGTTAGAGGAAAAGAGGAAAGTGAGAAATTTTGGTGAGATTGAAGAATAAATCATGCTTAATACAAGCCTATGTAACTTTCGCTAAACAGTCGGCGCTGTGGCTACAAAACCCCTGAGTGTACTAATTTGAGCAAGTGTTTATTTTATCGGTTACTTTTCATTTGGAAGAGCAGGATTGAGCAGTTTCCTCTTTCAAAAGTTGATGTCGCCAAAACCTTGAAAAGGGATAGCAGAAAGATGTAAAATGTTCTAACCTAAACCTTTAACCCTGTACTTCACAAATAAACATGAGTGTACAGTGCGAATGTGCACTGAAGTACTGCAGGAACATCAGCTGCACTCATACTAACCAGTGAATCATCAATTGAATTGCTGTTAAGCCAATGATTCCCCAGAGTCGACTGTCACATCAACATTGGTTTAACATCTAAAACGCTGATGACAAGAATAATAAGCAAAACATCAGTGATAAAATCCTCAGAAGGTTTGTTTTTTGCTGACATTGTCTTTTTGTCACTGTACTTTTTTTTTGTTTTTTGCTTTTTTCTTTCTGTCTTTTATTCACAATGTCCTTCAGTCTCTTTTGTGTTTCTCCCATCTGCCTGTCAGCATATCTTTGCAAGCCTGTCCCTCATAATCTTTGCCCTTTATTGTATATGAAGCTGAAGATGAGCCTTCAAAATGAATGCAGCATCACAGCAGATGCACAATCCTAAAAAAAAGACTTGACTTTTACTTTGTAACACACACAAACACTTATTGGCACTATCTCACAGATGCTCAGTCAGCCGAGCTGTCTGGTCATGAAGCTGGGTGAGTGGTGCTGTGAGCAAAAAGTTCACTCACTATCTCTGGCATCTACCAGCTACCACAGGCCCACTTGCAGTGACTATGGACAATGTTGGCCATATCAGGGCTCCTTTTGCTGTCAGTCTTCCATGTATAAGATGAAAAACAAATGTTAGACATTAGCTATTACAGCGAACCTGGCCATTATTTAGTTTGCTCATAGATTTTTACTTCATTGTGCTTAAATTACATGATTTCATGTTTGTGTTGTGATGGTCTCTAACCTTTGCAAGGCAGCTGGGCTCACAAGATCACACGAAAATCCATCTTGTGGCAAATGTTGCACAAAAGCAAACAATGAATACATGTTGCATGAGCAAATATTGTAAAAACCATATAGCACACTGTGCTAAATGTAACCATGACGCTAACAGAAATTTGTCTATTGATACTGATCCCTTGTTTGTATGTAAAGTATGAAGCTACAGCCTGGAGACAATTAAGGCTGGAAGGAGGCAGAGTTTTTCAACTTTGGACATAGCCAAGCTAACTGTTTACCCCTGTTTACCACTTTTCCTTTTTGATATCCTACATGCATGCAAATTCAGTAAAAAAAACAAAAAAAAACAAAGATATCTCTGAACTTGCCAGTTACACCCACTGAACAATTTTACAGTGATTATCTGTTTAAATACATATAAAAAGGTTTATGTGTGCCCATCATAAATTAGGCTTTGCTGTAATAAGGAAAATAGGCTTATATGTAGACAGATATGTGAAGTGATAGAGAACATGAGAGCTGCAGCGTTGATGTGATGCTGAAATTACTTCTGTAGTGCAACCTGGATTCACTCCACAGCCAATCACTCACACTCACACACACTCAGACAAGGGTGCTGTTTAACAAATTCTATTTGTGGCCTTGAAAGTATGAAGAGACTACATCTTGGAGGTAAAAGATTTCCAAGTTCACAGAGTGGCAATGCTGAGACAATGAGAGTCTGGGTACATCATGAGATGTGACGCACCAGGATATTAATACGACTTAATTTATCATCCACCTTCCTCTCCGTGATGCCAGTAGAGGTGTGTGTGCCAGAGATAGTCCCTGCATGTGTGTGACTGTTTGTAAGAGCTTAATGTTGTTTTGTAGCAATATTCGTCAGTTTGTGTCTGCATATATGTGAGCACAGACCATGTTTCTCTTTGACTATATTGATGTGGGCCAGCATCCATTATATACAGAAAGCTCATAATGATTTTCCAGCTGTACAGCCTGCAGTGTTCTGCTCCACCCACACAAACACACACACATACATGCACTCAGTCACCCAAACCACAGCTGGTGCTTTATTACAGCGAATCAGCAGCAGCTAGCCTCTTGGGAGGAAGGAGAAAGGCTTCATGTTTTTGTGTGTGTTTCTGCACACACAAAGAACAATGTTTTGTTACACATCTTTATCCTTGCATATCTAATATTTGTAACTTTACATACTGTTTTATTTACTTCTTCTACATAGTTGCTTTTAAATGCAAAGATTAGCCAGCAGAATTTGTTGCTCAGTTTTATAATTGTAAAGTCAGCAGAGAGAGATTTAGTAAGAGGAAAAGGTTGGTGTGAAGGCAATGTGCAGTAGTTCCTACATTCTGCTAACTTCTGCAGTTAATTAGAAGGACTTGGAGGTAGAACATTTTGAGTCACTATATGGTTGTGCTGTCTTCCTCAGTAAGTAGGGACTAAGTCTCTATGGATACCAGAAGAGATATGAAAAGTTATGCTGTGAAACCAGACTTGACTTCCCAGCCTGTCCCCTTCACTGATGATTATTTGGATTTGGTGTTGCAGCCATAAAGATACTGGGGCATTTATGAGAATCTGAAGATGATGCAGTGCAGGACGTGCCCCCTTGACGAGGATACTTAACCACCCACCAGCACCAGCGCTGCCTGCTCTTTGGCTGACACTGTGATTCTACAAACCCATCAAGGATGAAGTGAACGTGTTGATGTGTCGTCTGGAGCGCTTAGTTCGCTGTGCTAAGAGCTGTACCGAGTGAAAATTACATCCTTGTGAGTAATACAGCATAAATACAACATCTGCGGATCATCCGGAACAAGACATTTAAATGTAATCATGAGGGTTTTGTGCCTCATTTCATCATATAACACCAAAGCAAACATAAGGCTTTTCTCAAAGAATGACAGCGGATAGTGGTTAACTCACACTTATCTTTGTAGCATCTTTTGGCATATCCTCCTCAGGAGCCACCTAGAAAAAACAACAAACATGAGTGACATGATTTAATATTAATACATTTTAATAATTATGAATAGTTATATTGTAGTTATATACATAAAATGGGAATATATGTACAGTACCTGGACAAACTGGCTTACATACTGTGTTCTTACATGAGTGTAAACTATACATTTTAAGTCCACATTAATCCCTGCAGGTAACATGACACTAGATAACAATGTGTTAGATTAATTGAATTAATAGCTTGTTTATAGCTGTATAATGTGACAAAGGTCACTCGTAGTGTTATAATAACCAACAGCTGCAGATCTATATATCTCTTTGGCTTATTTTAGTTTACAAACGTACATTTACTGTATGGTCTGACTTATCAACCTCTGTAAACAGCCATCATCAAACAGTACACAGACAAAGCTACCAAGTGGCTGTTAAACACATTCAAACATCTAGCAGCAGATTGTTCTCTCTTTTCTGAAGATTTAAAATGAGACTTAATATTTGACTTATTTGTCATAAGAAACCTGACTCAAAATGAATTCTAATGTTGCTCTGTCACTGCTAGATATGAAAGCTATGGTATTGGTGGCTTGTTTGGCTTGTTTTCTGCCCCCTAGTGGTCAAACATTTAAAGCAGCTTTAAAGATATAAATACAAGTTTAATTGTGAAATCACAGGAGATACACAGATGGTATATCCCAAACAGACACCTTACTAAGGATAATTTGAGTTTATCAGAATGTCTTATTTTTGTAATTCTTTTGGCTATAATAACACTGTATTCAAGAAACACAAGTGGTTAGACAATCAAATGTACATTATTTTGAAATATAAACTAAATTGAGCCCAACTAAATGTTGATAATAATTGCTCATTGCACAGAAAAATTGTGTGCTCCATAACCATGGTAAATAATAACTCAAGGTTGAACCAGGAAATCCATCTGTACATTTACAACTGAAAAGTTTCACTTCCACCTTCATTTTCTCCAGATGTCCAAATAAGGTTGGCTAAACTGCGGGTTAGCAGGTTGATTGTCTGACTGCTCATGTTTCAAGAGTATAATAATATTACAAAGTTGTAATAAAGACTAAAACTATGAAAAAGTTGTTAAAAATGAGTAGTTAGTAATTATCCTTTAAGCTAAAGCCTGAAATAGAAGCTCCTGGTTGTGTTCATTTACAGATGTTGCATTAGAGTTCACCATTTAACAGAAAGCATTCAGAGTTCCTGTTATGAACCTACTTCATTGGTTGTCCAAGGCTGTCTGTCTGTCCAGTCAAGATGGTTCCTGATGTACCACCACTGGATCTCCAGTGAATACGAGGGCGTCCCAGCCCCTCTGAAGGAGCAAGCCATCTCCACATCCTGACCTCTCTGAGCCGTCATATCATGAGGCACCTCAGTGAACATGGCTGGACAGACACAGAATGAGACACGGTTAATAAATGGTGTCTAGTCAGTGGCATTCAGTGCAGTTTGAAGACAAAGTGTAAAGATTATAGCCCTATAGTGCTAAAACATTTTTTTGAAAGCTGATATAAATATTTTGGTATCAGTTAAAGCTGATCTCCATGGTGGAGATAATGTTGCTTCAGAGGAATTCTCACTTGAAGATGTAAGATATTGTAGCAGCCCCTTAAAACAAGGATTCAACGTCATCTATTAATGAATACCAGGTAAGGGTAAGGGTGAAACTGATGAAAATGGGGGAGGTATGTGGGTTAAAGAGAGTAAGGGGGAGGATAAAGCTTGCTAAATTCAGGTAAAAAGTCAAATGAAAGTAAATAAAAGTAAAATGTTAGAGGCCAAAGACTGTAAAGAGAAAATGACAACTGTTACAGGAATTTGTTTGCCGTTCACTTTACATTCCAGATAGTTGAAAAGTTTTTCATTTTGATTATTCACTTTCTTGCTGAGAAGATTGATGCCACTCTTGCATTAGGAGCACGCACTAACACTGAGCAGTTGTCTGCATCAGCATTCATAAAGAGCCCTTTTCATGCTAAGTTGATATATTAAGGCTAAACAGGTCTAGAGCAAAATGAGCAGTCCACAAGGCTGGGGCTGTAATGCTGAATTACAGGAACAATCAGTACTATTACGTATCATATCAGTGGCGGTTTGAAAGTGTCATTGATCAATGCAAGAGACATTGCTGTTTATTTAATTCAGGTTTATTTGCTCAAGTATGGAGGCCCCAGGGACCTTAAAACAATGTGCCTACCCTGGCAACTGATCACTTTTATTTCACACTGGGTTTGGGTGAAAAATAAATCATATTTGTATTTTTTTCACTGCCTTTTAACATTTTAAAAACTGGTTTGCTGGCACATCCAACTGGTATGAGACCACAGGGTAGACCCAGAACATGCTGGAGAGATTATATATCCCCCAGGAAGAGCTGGAAAATGTTGTTGGAGAGGGACGTCTTGACTACCTTGCTTAGCGTGCTGCCACCGGATGAAAGTATGGAAAGTTTCCATTGATTCTAGTATAGTGTTCTATTCATTGACATAATTTCCAAATCAATGTAAAAATAAGCAATGATCCAGCAGCACGGAAACCAACTTTTTTACAGGATGCACAGTTTGGCACAACAACATTTTAAGTAGCCACAAAAGGCCAATATCAGAGCCTGCAAAACCAGAGGATAAAGAGTTTTGGACAAACCATGAGACTAAAGTCACTTTGGCTAACATTGGTGACCCCACATAGCAAACAATAGAGCAGATTGTAGCACTGCATGCACAATCTGTAATTTGCTGCTGGTATCAAAGTGTTAAGTGTTAGATTCAGGTGCAGCAGGAGCTAAATTTAAACTCACACTTTAAACACTTTGGTCTCCACCAAGCAGCACAGTGCCATTACAACAAAACCCAACAGACCAGCTGTCATCCTCACAACGCACCAGGGGGAAGTGTGGATATTAGTTTAAAGGGAGCCATAAATCTCCTTTGTTCATGAATATTCAGTAGCATTTAAAAAAGGGGAAAGTTAAATCTATTGTTTCATGTTAAACAATAGGTAAAAAGAGTCACCAGCACATTACATTGTGCTGTATTTTGCTGCAGTGCTTATTGGTCTTCATGTCAGATTTATAAAAACTACATTTAGGTCCAGTGTGTAACATTTAGAAAGATCTATAGGCAAAAAGGAAATACAATATTCATATGTATAAGAATCATTATGTTTTTGCTGCCTTAGAATGAGACCTTTTTATCTACAGACACTACCGGTCGCCTTCTATGAACCGACATGTTTCTACAGTAGCTCAGAACAAAGCAAACACTGGCTCTAGATTCTTGATTTTTGAGCGTTTCATGGGCACCATAGTTTCTCCTTCTGACATGGAATGGGAGGGTGAACTTTTAAGATTTGTTGGGATTGTTAAATTCCAACAAAACAAGAAACAAAATTTAAAAAAAGAGAATCAAAGAAAAAAATGCAAATTGCCAAATTACCAGAGAATAAAGAAACCCAAGAGTGTAGAACAGTGCCAAATACATCAGAATTAGCCATGCCAGGCAGAAATATGTTAATCACAGGCCTTAACCATCAAAAGGTAATTACATGGATTAATGTATTATTGTTACCATGGTACACAATTTGTCTTAGTTGTTACAACTTGTACTGTAAAGTCATGTATCATGAAACATGATCCAGGTCACAAGCGATATTTACACACCAGTTGGTTTTGACTTTTATTGACAAGGAGTGTTTGAATGCTAATTCATTGAGTTGTGAGACTGTCCCTTTAGGGGAGGAGGCTTGGAGGATTCAGCTCTTTAACTGGCACATATCTGGAGTGACAGCTGTGTTTCAGTCTGTCTCAGGCTCAAGCTGGATGTCAGGTATCATTTTGTGGACACTGTTATCCAAATCGTTTTACAGTATCATGAGTAGACTCATTTTTATGGATTCTATAAATTTGTCAGTTCGTAAATGATCAGTGAGCTCTGCAGGAACAGTAAATCCTCTAACTTGCAAAACTTGAATTCCATTTTCCTTTTTATATTTTCTGCAACATAACAGCTTTTTATTTTGCCAGAAGTTTCCCATCATCCACATCGAACCACAGACTGAAGTGTGACTGTTAAATCAAAAGTGAGTCTGTTCTTTTGAGTCAGCTCAGCAGGTCATTATTTATTATAAGAATGCTTTGTTAAAATTTAACGTAATGTACGTTTGACTAAACAAATTGCAATATAATGGCACAGTGGACTTCCTGAGTCATTTGCTGTAAAAATGAATTTCTTAAGGATAAAATTTCATTCTTGACTTTACAAACAATAGTAAGCAAAACTAAAGGTCCTTTTCACCAGATATTAGTCTTGCTCAGCATGTGGTATTCAAACTAGCATTTTCATCAGGATGACACCACTGTCCTACTTCCCAAGGTCATCATGCATCAACTCTCCAGAGGAGCAGCAATCTTATCATATTATACATATCATCAAAAAGTTACATAGTATATTGCAATTTAAATTGATTTAAATAGTTTTAAACAATCACTGAGTGGCCAGGAGAAAATGTTCTGACATCAACTATTACAACAAAATGACACCTCCTCTCTTACTTGTAAACTCTCCACTGACACCTGGACTAAAGTTTCTTTAAAGATCCCCTCCAGACAGGCATTGAGACATATATACAAAAAGTCAGCTTGGAACAATAATGTGTGTCTGATATGTTTTTTTCTCCAATACTTATAATTTTCACATTATAATCTATTAAAAAGGTTTCTACATCACACTTGTATAAACTGCATGGATTGACCTCCAAACTATTTGTGATGTCACACATCATGCTTGTAGGCCCGGCCCCTTAAAATCTGATTTTCAA